TAACTTCAGAGAGAAAATATTCTGGGGGGCCCCTACACTTTCATGAGCTTTACCTCTATGTGGCCACAAAGTTCTCAGGATGAAGATTAAAGAAAAATTTCCTCATGGTTCTAGCAGGTGGATAGGAAGTAACCATTCTAAAATACACCTACAATGTTATGTTCTCCTTAACAAACACCTGCACTCAAGGACAACTACTTTACCAGAGCCTAACTAGAGTTTTATCAGGGTCTAACTGACATGGGGGAAAGGAAATACCCAACTCTGGCCCCCATTAGCCATCTTTTCCCCCTCAAAGAAAAAATGTACTGAAAAGCACTTGTCAAGGTCTCATCTCAGGGACAAAGGCCCATTAAAACACTAAGAGCTAATCATAGGATTGTCAAACCCTTCCCCTCCCCCTACATCTTCCCACTGATAGGAATAGGAAGCAGGGAAATTCTGGGCAGAAGAGGGCAGGTCCTTGGCAAGGGCCCCACCCTCAAGCCTGGAATCATGGCCCAAAGTAAGAACATACATCTGTGTTTTCCTGCTTGAATGCTGCCTTTTCCAAAATCACCCATGGCCCACTCTGCCCCACTATCCTGTGCCCATAAAAACCTCAGGCTCAGCCGGCAGAAAGAGAAGCAGCTGGACGTTGGAAACTATGGTTGGACGTCAGAGAGAAGTGGCTTGACTTCAGAGGGACAGCTTGATGGTGTATCTTTGAAGAGGAATCTGGCTGGGAATGGCTGAACTTTAGGGGAAGATTACCTTCCTGTTCCGTCCCTTTTCCAGCTCCTCTTCCCACTGAGAACCACTTTTATCACAATAAAATCCCTTGCATTTACCAGCTTCAACTCTCATACAACCTCATTCCTCCTGGACACTGGACAAGAACTCAGGTGCCATTGAGTGTGGGTGCAAAAGGCTGTCATGCTGATCCTCCACTGAGCTGTTAACACTTGTAGACAGCAAAGCTAAAAGGGCACTGTAACACATCCTCTGGGGTTTCAGAGGTCGTGGGTGCCCTCCCCTAGATACTGCTGGGGAGCGAGTATGCAGTTCACTCTTGAAGGCGCCCAAAAGCACTCACTCTGGCTCCTCCATTCACGCACCTGTGCTCCACCTCCCTTGAGGGGTGGAGCAGCGAGTGAGTGGAGTTTGCCCCTGCCAGTGCCTGTGCACTCCAGTTCCCACCTGTGAAGGAGTCACTATCCTGTTTCACCACCACATCTACAGGGCTCCTGTATAATAGTGGGATTACAATGGAAAGAACTGCAAGGCTGACTTTATTTAAGATGTCCCTAGGGAAATTTTAAGAGACAGAAACAAGGACAGTAGAGGAAAATGATGCCTTACACACTTACAACTAAACAGTAAACATAGCCTAATTCCTAGCCACACAAACATAAAACACCACCAGCCTATTTAATCTCAGTTCACATTACCTATACAATATGTTCAGCTCTCAACAAAAAATTGTAAGGCATATCAAAAGGTAAAAAAAAAGTGTGAAGAGACAAAGCAAGTATCAGAACCACACTCGGATGTGACAGATATTTTGCAACTGTAAGACTGTGAATTTAAAATACTTACGATTAATATGGTATGGGTTCTAATGGAAAAAGTGGATAATATTCAAGAACAGGTGAGTAATGTAAGCAGAGATACAAACATTAAATAAAAATCAAAAGGAAACATGAACATGTAAGGAATATAAAGGCACTGGACAGAGAAATAGGATGAAGGGTTGAAGAATCAGCAGTTGTTTTTATTGCCATGGTAGACTTGTTCAATATTGTAAAGCTAAAGGCAAGGATCTAACACAGGAAAAGAGAAAGTGGAAAATTGACAAATATTTGCTTCATGAGACCCTTCCCAAGGTCAGGATTAAGTCCTAAAAGGAGGAAGATGAGAAATAACAAATTAGGCCAAACCAAAAGGTTGTAAACTTGTCTGTGAAACTTCGTTTTAATTAGATAACATGGCTACTGCAAAAAATAAAGGTTATACTACTTCCCATCTCCCACCCCATTCTTTCCTCAATAATGTTATGAAATTGTCAACATTTAAGAAACTCCCAAAGGAATTTTTCTTACACCCCATGAGTTGGATAGTTTTTGTATTTTTCAATTTCATAAATTCAATTTCATTTTACCTTAAAATTTCCATACCTGAAGGTGAAAACAAAAACCATACAAGATAAGCAGTAACCAAAGTTACTGAAGTAAATATTCATTCAGCACATATTTATTTAGCACCTTCTTCATTCTAGGCAATGGATACCGTAGTGAACAAAACAGAAATCTTTGCCCTTTTGGAGTACTATCCTTAGGTGAAGACGGATTAATAAGCAGGTATACTATAAACTTGCAGAAAAACTTTTTTTTTTGAGATGGAATCTCACTCTGTCGACCAGGCTGGAATACAATGGCAGTGATCATGGATCACTACAGCATCACCTTCCTAGTCTCAAGTAAACTTCCCACCTCAGTCTCCCAAGTAGCTGGGACTACAGGCATATGCCACCACACCTGGCTCAATTTTTTGTAGAGATAGGGATTTGCCATGTTCCCCAGGCTGATTGTGAACTTCCAAGCTCAAGCAATTTGCCCACTTCAGCCTCATAAAGCAGTGGAATTACATGCATAAGCCATTGCGCCTGGCAGGAATAAATTTTATGGAAAAATTCAAGCATAGGTGAGGGATTGAAGAGTTCCAAGGGTGAAGTATTATTACTTTATATTACTTTGGAGCACAGGCTCCAAAGGGGGAACATAGTGTGCCTCATGTACTGTGGAACAACACGGAATGTAATTAGGCAAAGGGAAGAGTCCATAGTGAGATCCTCTGGGGTCCTGTAAAGAGTTTTACTGAGTGAAATGGAAAAAACTTGAGAAATGTTTCGGGCAGAACCACATTGATTACTACCCGGAGGGTGTTGGCAAGGAGACTATTTAGGTGGGTATCACAATGTAACACAGTGATTTACATGGGAGTGGTAGTCTGGATTTATTTGGCAGGTAGAAATGGTAAAATTGCTTATGGAGTGAGGTATAAGATGGAAGTCAAGGGTAATCCCAAGGTTTTTCACCTGAGTAATTAAAGAGTGGAATTTGCCATTTACTAAAATGAGAAAGATGGCAGTTAATTAGAAAAGAGAGAAAATATTATACACTTAGTTGTAGATGTGAATTTTGAGATGTTTATTAACTTATAAGTGCAGGTGTTTTTTCTTAAAGTCTGTTTTCTTGGGAGAGGTCTTAGCCAGAGATGAACATTTGTGAATCATCATTATAGGTGATACTTAAAGACATTAGAGTGAAGAGGTCTATGGACTGACCCAGCAACACCAATACAGTCCTGGATCGTCAGCTATGAACCACATATACAATGGTGATCTGGTAGCAGAGCTGAAAAATTCCTATTGCCTAACAACATTGTAGCTGTCACAACATTCAAGCACAAGACATTACCTTTTCTATGTTTACATACACAAATACTTAGCATTGTGTTACAATTGCCTACAGTATTCAGTACAGTAACATGCTGCAGGTTGGTAGCCTAGAAGCAACAAATGTATTTTCATCATTATGCAAACACCATTTAGTGTACTTACACAAATCTCGATGTATAGCCTACTACAGCCTAGGTGTACAGCCTACTATACGCTTGTAGCCTAGGTGTATAGTAGCCCATACATCATCTACGTTTGTGTAAGTACACTAGAAGATATTTGCAAAACGCTGAAATTGCCTAACAAGGTATTTCTCAGAAGGGTCACCATCGATGCATGATTGTATTTAGTTATGATAGTGAGGAACAGATACCAGCAAAGGATCTGGAAAAGGAGAAACCATGAACCAAGACAAGAACTAGGAAGAGTGGTTTCTCAGAACCCAAATACAGCTTTTCAAAGCTCAAGAAGTAACAAACTAGACCAACGCTGCTTCATTTAACAAAGAATGAAACTGTGGATCAGCCATTGTATTTGGCTGCATGGCTATTGTTGACTTTCATAGAAGCTGTTTTGGTGGAGCGGTAGGATGGACAAAAGCGTGAGTACCATACTGAAGAGAGAATGCAAGGTTGTCTCCCAAGAACTCTCAACAAGTTCCGCTGAAGAAAGATTAGCTGAGGTGGAGGAGATTGGAGAGGGGAAGAGAAAACAAATAATTAAGGAACTTTGGAGGAACTGAGTGGACAGTATTATGGGCAGTACTAAGGAACCATTTAAAGACAAGTCCACATAGCTGTGTGCTTTTCTCCAGTCTTGTTCAACTGATGCATAACAGTAGAATGCTGGAAGCAGGAATTAGTTTTAAGGTAAGACGGTATTGAGGAGAGGACAATAAAATACCTCTACTACAGAGCACAGCAATGTTTGGCCTGGTGGCTCACAGAAGCTGAGGCTCTTGAACGTCTGGGCACAGCATGAAGGCATCAAGCTTGAGAGACTGCAGGCCTTAACAAACTAGAAGTGCTAGGAGGAAGGATGGTTCTAAACAAACCAGGTTTTTTCTCACAGAGCAAGCACAGCAGTAGAGATTTTATTTTTTAGACAGAGTCTCGCTCTGTTGCTCAGGCAGCAATGGCACGATCTCGGCTCACTGCAACCTCCGTCTCCCGGGTTCAAGCAATTGCCTCAGCCTCCCAAGTAGCTGGGATTACAGGCATGTGCCACCAGGCCCGGCTAACTTTTTGTATTTTTAGTAGAGACCGGGTTTCACCATGTTAGCCAGCCTGGACTCGAACTCCTGACCTCAGATGATCCAACCGCCTCAGCTTCCCAAAGTGCTGGGAATTACAGGCGTGGGCCACCGCGCTTGGCCCAGTAGAGATTTTTTTAAAGACTGTGGTAGGTCGATAAAGGAGCCATTTGTCGCCTGGGCGCTTCGAGGTCTAGAGACTGAACCCAGTTGGGGTACGGCCCTTTCCAAATCCAGAAATACCTATTAATAGAAGGGCTCCCTCCGGGACCCAGGGGGATGGACTACGGTTTTAACGCCGGAACTTACAACCTGAAGTTCTGCTGCTTGTGACTGCCTGCCGGAGAGACTGGCATGGTGGCGACCAGCTGGGGAGTGGTCCACCACCCCTTTTCTGGCCGCCTCTGAAGTCCCTGTACCTCCAAGCCCCTGCGTTGGCGGCTCGGGCCGAGGCTCCGGAATGTTTGCCGGGCGTCATGGCGACGGTGGAACTCTGGCTCAACAAGCGGCCGCGCGGTTGGCTGGCGACACGAGGCCGAGGAGGAGGGCGGAGGCGGAGGGGAGGGCAAAGGGTTGGTGGAGCAGGAGGAAGCTCCGGACGACGACTAGAAGAAGGAGGCGGGCGGCCCGGGCCTCAGGCCCCTCCCAGGCTCTGAGTCTCCCGGCTGCAGGCGGATGGATGGGGCTTCTTCAGGCGGTGGCGGCAGCAGCGAAGGTGGCGGCGGCAGCAGCGGCAGCGGCTGTAAGTGCAGCCTCCACAAGCCATCTCTCCCCTTCTGTTCCAGTTTGGGATGAGGGGCTCCTGAGGTGTCCTCAGTCCCCTTTCTCTCCTTCCCCTCCCCCACAGCAGTGTACCGTCCGGAAGACCCTTAACTTCCGGGGAGGGGCTGCCTCAGAACGCGCCTGGCTTGCTCGCCGCCGGCGGACGAAGGCGCATGCGCAGCTCCCTCCCCGCCACCGCCCACTGCCTCCCAGCGCCGCCTTTTTGCCTTCGCGGTGGCGGCGGCGCGCTGGGAATCCGCTGCGGAGTGAGTTCGCCTCGCCCCATTCGCTTCGGTCCCTGATCCCAGTCGGGGTGGGGCTAAGCTGACCACCCCGCTGTGGCTCCGCCTCTTTCTCCTGTATTTCCCTCACTTGTGTCCCAGTCCCAGGAGGCTCCCGCTTGCACTGCAGCCTTTATGGTGAGCAGCGCCCTGGGCCAACCTGCCCTTTTTGGATGGAGTCAGGGAGGGAGGAGAGACTCGAATAGGGTATTACTGTGAGGAAATGAGGTCCTCCTAGCGTGTGGGAGGATCCCTTGGGACAGATGCTTGCCGCTCTTTAGTCTTGTTCTTTCAGCTTGTAGTGGCTAGGTCCCTGGCCTGGAGCCTATCTGTGTGGTCCCTGCATGCTGTGTGACCTTGAGCGAGTCACTATCCCTCTCTGGGCTTCGGTTTTCCCTATTTAAAGCTTCCTCCAACGCTAGAATTCTGTATTTCGGCAGAAGAACTTACGTAATTACAGATTGACTTGGCTATTGAGGCCGCTTCACCGAGATGACCGGGAGTTGACTGAATCTTCTTCACTCACGGGTGGAATGAGGCGACGTATTTACTGGGTCGCTTTTATTCCTTTACCATTGGTTGCAAATTGCATGACTTAAGGCTCATTAAATGTTTTTCTAAAATTGTCATGGGATCCTTGTCCTAATTCCCGACCATCTTTTTAAACATGTGAAACAGGGTAGATGGTGAGCTTGTATCTCGTTTCTGTCTCCTTACTACTGAGGCTCTCTTTCCTTTGATCCAGATGGTGTGGTCGCTCGATTCTCCCAGTGCCTGGCTGAGTTTCGGACGTGGTTAAGAACCAACTGGTTGAGGTTCAATGCAGACAAGACGGATGTGATGCTGGTAGGCAGGGGTACGCTTGGAGATTAGGGGAGGGAAAAGCCAAACTCCCTCAAGTAATGTGAGATTATATTACTCTTCTTATATGTTCCAGTGTTTGAGAACTGATGGGCCAAAAATTTCCAGAATTTGGGTGAGATAAAAATAACATGTCATCAATGTAAGAACCATAAACATACAGTTTGTAATATGCTGATAAAATGGGGCCACTGGATACAACTGTGTAAAACTTATGAAAAGAAAATCCAAAACTGTTATTTGAAGAACCAAAGCCTACATAAGTGTTTTAGAGTGGCATTAATAATAAAAAATGAGACTAATGAAAAGATGATGCTGATTGTCACTATAGATGTGGGGCTTCTAAATGTAATAGGCTAAGTTTTTTAGATTTAGGTATTTTCAACCAAATTAGTAATTATCCATACAATTTTACCACCACATCATAAAGACATAGTGTAGGCTGTTGCTTTTAAATAAAAATTTCAGGAAATAGTTTATAAACTAATCTCAAAAGAGACTCATGGACCCTGAAAATTGTTAGATACAGAATTTTTTAGTTTTGGATGTGTTGTATTAATCTATTTCAATCAGCTAACCCCAGAGTCTAAACTGTTATAAATACAGTATTTTCTTGGTGCATTCTGAGAGGTACCTTTTTGGATTGCATAACAGGTTTATATATGATATATATATATGTTACTTGTATTTGAATCAGGTGTTGGTACTGAATAAAAGGTTATATTTCTTAGGTATATGTAAATTGCTGAAGAAGTTTGTTCATTGGTTCGTTTAAGGTACTGGTTGAAGTAAGATTGTGATACTAAATGCTTTTGTTAAAAGCATAATAATAACTGAGGGGTTTGTGTGTGCGTGCGCCTTATAGCCTCTATAGAATTGTTTAATAATTTTGAATGGAAGATTCAGTAAATTGCTTACAAATGATTTATCAATATAATAGCAGTTTTGAGTAGCTTAATGTCATAAAAATTAATGTTAGTTTGCCCGAAAATAAGGCAGCTTTTAGGTGGGCAATAGGAGCTGAAGAGGCATTTATTCAGGCTTTCTATAGTGGTTTTTTGTTTTGGGACATTAATCACAAACCTCACATAAAATTGGAATTCACCACACTTTTTTAGTTTAAAGATTTTATACACAATTTCAACAGAACTACTGTTTTGGATATCACATTAATAAATAAGGTGTAATTAAGCAGACACAATTAATGGTGCATTTTCTCATGCCTTTAGCTCTGTCATGTCCTATTTTCAACTCTTCTAGTATGAATAGGCTTTAAAAATAATTTTTTTGTTAACCCAAGTATAAATATTAACTGTTTGCATTTGGATACAAAGAAGGTATCTGTTGAATTAATCCAAAGTGCTGAAGAACTAAGGGTAATGGATGGAAACAACAAGGAGGTAGATTCTGGCATAATAAAAGAATGTTTTAAACATTTGAACTTTTTTTGAAAAGAGGAGCCTTTTTATGAGATGTAGTGAGTCACTGGAGGTGTTTAAACATAGGCAGAAAGCCTGGTAGTAGAAGCATGATGAGAGATTACTATTTTGACAGAGTAGAGACTTGACTAAAAGATCTCTAAGGTCCCATCCAACACTAAAATTCTGTGACTAGTGAATAGTTAATTTTTATATATTTAATACTGAAGAGGGTAAGTAAGCATTTTGAGAAAGACTTTTCATTCCCTAAGGTGGCTCCTGAAAATTTTACAGTTAAGTGTATCACTAAAATAAAATAATAGTGGAAGTATACTGAATTCAGTGGTAATGTGTTACCTATGAATTGCAGTATTAGAGCTGTTTCTTTTTAATAATATCTGAACCTAAAAAGACCCACTGAATCCACATTTATAAAAAGGGGAAGGAGAAAAATGTAGAGATTTTCTTCCCTCAATAATAATAATACCATTTAAATCTAGTAATATTGACACACAATATTAATAAACTTAAAAAATTATTTAGGCCGGGCGCATTGGCTCACGCCTGTCATCCCAGCACTTTGGGAGGTTGAGGCAGGTGGATCACAAGGTCAGGAGACCGAGACCATCCTGACTAACAAGGTAGGAGACCGAGACCATCCTGGCTAACAAGGTGAAACCCCGTCTCTACTAAAAATACAAAACCAAAATTAGCCGCTGGGGCGGTGGTGGCGGGTGTGCCTGTAGTCCCAGCTACTCAGGAGGCTGAGGCCGAGAATGACGGAACCCGAGGCGGAGCTTGCAATGAGCCGAGATCACGCCACTCCACCTGCAGCCTGGGCAGCGGAGCCAGACTCGTCTCAAAAAAAAAAAAAAAAAAAAAAAAAAAATTATTTAACAGTAAGATAGATACCCATTCAGAAATGTTTCAGACTTCATTTTCCTGACAATTTTAGGATTCATTCAGTAGTTTACTAGACTGTGATCCCCTGCTCTTTATCACAGTTGGGATTTCTGTTGGTAATTTAACTGAAGAATCAAAGATTCAGTGTACTTAGGCAAGCAAGTTATTCCTGTACCTTGTATTTTAACACTTTTAATTTTCCTTTGGTAGGCAAATTTCATAAATTAGCTTTCATATTTTAATGGAAAACCCTCCTTCATCTCCATGGTATAAAGCCTGAGTTTGTACCTCTAGGCCCCTAATTGTGTCTGTACCCACCTCAGGTCCATGTACATCCATTGTTCTTTGCCTTCAGCTCTTTTCATTAAGTGTATTGATTGAAAACTATTCGGATATGAGCTGACACTTTTAAAAAGTCATTTTTATTTCAAGTCCAAAGCACTGACATAATTCAACAGGGTAACTCTTAGAAACTATATACCTCTGCTAAAATACTTATTCCCCCAAGGAATCCTGAAAAACACTTTTACATAAGTTTTCTAAAAAATAAAATGAAAATACTGTACAGTACAGTTAATGGTAAAAATTGTTTGTAGATTTGGGAACCTTAAAGTTTTCCTTTCTCTTCTTTCCCTTGCTTTTCTTTCAGTAGAAAATGTGCATCAGATGTTTATGTTTAATTGGTTTACAGACTGTCTGTGGACTCTTTTCCTGTCAAATTACCAGGTAATGTCCTTTCACTTAGCAGCTACTTCATATATCTGTAAATGCAGTTTATTCATGCACAGATTATTATTGGACATAGCAGTTTCAAATTAACGTTGAATCTTTGGAAATAGGAAAATGCTTGATAGAGTCTAGAATTTTAAGGGAATATAAATAATTTAATAGCCTCCCCTATATTGCATTATAAGTTAAGTATAAACTTTAAGAAAAATTGTATATGTACACATTTATGCAATATATTGTAGCATTGGTTCACATTATTTGGAGGGAATGAATAATTCTCATATTTAAATGGTTGATTTTGGTAGCCACTTTTGAAACTGCATTAAGAGGAACCCTTGAAGATTAGGAAAAAAAAACTCAGTCTTTCAAAATAAAGACTTTAAAACTGGTTTAGTAAAATATGTTAGTGACTGTTTTAATGTCACCTTTGTGTTATTCAGTATCTGCCTTAGTATAATGGAAGTGAAACATGTTAGTTACTTTGAAATCATTGGCTCTGGCCATCATCAGCATTGTCATCATGGCCAATTGGCAGCTGTAGGCCAATATATTAAAATAAACTTTCAAGTTACCAGCATTTCAGGCGTTGCAAATAAGTAGGTTCTCCCTCTATGGTACTAAAT